CCTTCCCCGCCACTCCTCTTTAACCGTTCCTCTCCCTCCAGGATTCCTCGCGCCCTCTCGTTGGCCCTGCTAGCGGGCCACCTGCAGTAAGACGGAGGGCAGGGGTTTAATCGGAGGGGGGCCCAGGCTCAGCTCAGGCCCAGGCCCAGGCCAGGCTCAGGCCCAGGCCAGGCTCAGGGCTCAGCCCAGGCCCAGTTGGGGGCCAGCATGTTCCAGCTCAGGGAGGTCAGTTCCAGCTGCAGGCTGGTCAGCTCCAGGGTCAGTAGTGTTGGACGCGTCTGGAGGTCAGACCCTGGTACCAGCAGCTGGAGCTGGTCCCGTGCTCATTCACGGCGAACGGCTGCAGATCATCATCATGCAGGCCACTATGGCCCAAAGAGACACCAATCAGCCTGTTGCTGTGACGGTGGCCACCACCTTGGCTAATGACAGCTCAGCGGGTGGACGCAAGGTGAAAAGTGGGGGAAGCAGTGGGTGGAGCAAACGAAAACACTTTTTAGACAGTTATTTCTTAAAATGGATTTATAAACATACTTATTATGGTGGAATCTTCTTATAGCGCTGTTTAAGTACTTCATAGACATTAATATTGCTTTAAACGAAATTATACATACATTATGAAAGTTTCTATAATGACTTTTAAGTTTGAAGTATCATAATACTTTAAAACGGCAAAGTTATTTTTAGATACAATTATATATGTTTGGTAACAATGATCATCTTAAGCAAGTTTGCAATGCAATACGGCATAACTATCAGGATGTACATAGATCATGCATTATATAAGGATAAATGTATAACAACTATGGAATTATAATCACTTTGGATCCTTGAATGATCCAGAAAGGTTTTGCGAGTTTGTTTTATTTGTCTGCCAATGTTTTGTGTTGTTAACTGTACACCTTCTCCTTTCCTGTTGGGAAGGTGAAGGCAGTAGCTGGGATCAACAGCATTGCAGCCAATCAGCAGCAGCAGCAGCAGTTCCAGAATCATCCAGGTTCAGAACCTCCCCAATGCCGGCGGCGGGGTCCAGTATCAGGTCATCCCTCACCTGCAGACGGCGGATGGGCAGCAGATCCATATCAGCTCAGCATCCTCCATCGGGGCTCTGGCGGAGCAGGTCCCAGCTCATCCAGACCCAGAGTCCAGGCCAGACCCAGACTATCTCCAGCCAGCCAACCAGCAAACATCCTGACAAGTACAGCCAATCAGACGGTCCGGCTGCAGATCCGCCACAGCACAGTCTTTCCCCATGCAGGCTGCAGACTCTGCATGGATCCCAGACGTCCTGTCATGGACCACAGTACCCATAAACCTAGGTGGCATGGACCCGTGGCTCTGCCTGTGATAAATTAATGTTGGAGGGGGTGGGGCTGTGCAGCTCATCCAATCAGACAGATGGCACATTCTCCGTTGCCAGATGGGTAACCAGCTAGTGAACAACAGCAGTGTGTCTGGGGCAGCTCCCTCTGACAGCTCAACCGGCACGGACAGCAGGGGCCGAGGGTGACCGGCGCATCAGATGTGACACATGTGGTTTCTACGGATCAGAGGGTGGACCAGCTGACACCCAAGTGCAGAACAATGAGGCGACTCTCAGAACCAGAACCAAGCCAAAGGGCTGCAGCAACAGATAGATACAGCAGGAAGCATTCAGCAAGTGATCGTGGGCCAGGAATGGGGCACAGTTTGTGCGCAGATCCAGCTGCAGCCCCTCAGAGTCAGGCCCAGGGGCCAGCAGCAGCACAATTCAGACATCCAGCTGCCCCCAGGACAAACCCTGCAGCCCATCCAGGCTTTCCAGAACTCTGCCAGAGGTCCTTATCCGTACTCCAACCTGTCCCCCCTCTGGGCAGATCCACCTGGGCAGACACTGCAGCTGCCCCGGCGGGGTCTCCCTGCATGGGTGGAACTGGGGACGGCCAATGCCACCAGCAGCTGACCACTGGCCTCGATGTCCGGTGGGACGGCAATGGGGAGTGGAGGGCTGGTCTCCCTGAGTGGAGCACCACTGACGCTGAGCGCAGCCAGATCAACCCAGGGGTCTGGGGGTACAGACTGTTCAGCATCAGCGGGGCTGGGCACGGCGGGGGTTTCAGGTGCCGGGTTCCCTCACCATTTACTAGGTCTACAGGGTAAGGCCCACACTCAGTAAACCTGTTGAATGTATAGGGATTTAGCAGTGTTCTATTAAATACCTCTAGGGCTGCTAATAAGATGATAATGTACATCTTCATTAATCTGCTGATCATTACTAGATTAATTCATTAATTGGTTTTGTCAATCAAATATCCGAATATAGTGAAAAATTTCCAAGTGGATGTCCTTTACATTTCTTTATTTGTCAGTCCAACAAAAACCTATTCACTTAAATATGATATAGAGAAGGAGAGAACATCTTACAGCTTATACTTTCTCCAGAGTCAGCAAAGTTGACATTTGTATTTGGTGATAGTAGTGTTAACGCAATTTAGGCTATGTTGGTTCAATTGTTGAGTGTGATAAATAAACAATTTAAATAAGCATGTTGAGGCCAGCCTTTTTCCAAACTTGGCCTTAGTGGATGTCCAAAGTCTCAGATTTAGAAACAATGTGTTGGTTAAGGCATTAGTTATTTGGAGAAAAATACGTATAAGCCTTCCTGTTTCACATGCCAATCTCCCAGTTGTGCGATACATATACCATTGAAAGTTGAGTTATAAACAGGGTGTCCTGCTGGCCCTAACCTACAGACTGTCTGGGATCTTGTATTTTTAAGTTTCTCTCTCATATTTTCTTCAGTCCACCCCAGGTCAATATAACATTTTGCCCTTTTTAAATCACCTTTCAGGTCAATCACAAGGTCAGGACGGGGGTCAAAGTTCAGTCGTCTCCAGTAACGGTTGCTGTTGGAAACGTGGCATCAGGGTCATCAATGAGTCCAGACCAGCTGGCTCTCAGTCCAAAGCTCTTTCTGACCAGGGAGGGCCTGCCCAGCAGAGAGCTTCGCCGTGTTGCCTGCTCCTGTCCGAACTGCAGGGATGGAGAGGGAAGGTATGGACACGTTGGAAAGACATTGGTGGTGTTAAACACCGGTCGAATAGCGATTTACAAGTGATGGTGTATTCCTTAAAAAGAGATAAACCAATTCTAAAAACAAATATTCTGAATCTAGCTCTTTTAGTAATTCATAAGAAAACGGGTGTTGGACAAATTATTTAAGATTCCCCCCCACCTATAGACCCCACTAAGCCCTACAGTTAGGAAAAAACTGTGATTGTTTGCATATTTTCAATGCAATCCCAAAGTTGTGATGACTGTCATGTCATGATGGGATAACTGGGTTTGACAGATGGTCAGAACACAGTGTAGCTTCATTTTCCTAAAGTGAGAGATCCGGACCCTTTCACCACTCAGCATTTCACTTTATAATGAGGAGCTAGCACTGAGAATGGTTCACGCTCACCGCTTAATTCACTCAAGAGATGTAAGTTATCAATCAGAGCTTGTGTACTGAACAATTCAAACCCTTAAGGCAAGGGGTGTCAAACTCAAGGCCCCGGGGGCCAAATCAGGCCGTGGTGGGATTTAATTTCGGCCCGCAGGATAATTTCTAATTACTATTGATCTGGCCCTCCCAGTATATTGCACGCACATCTTCACTCCATCCTGAGGGTGCCTCAGCTCAGAGCCTGCCCCAAAACATTGATGACTTGTACCCAAGATGAGATGCCCAGTATCTGCTTGAACTAGCATCACAGAGCAGCAAACTGAGTTTCCCATGGGATGTTTCCTTCTGCACTTTCTCTCTCACGACAACAGGGCAATGTTTTTTTTTTCTTGAGGGAAATTGTTTTTTTTTGAAGCTGTTGTTGGCCTGTGGAAAAAATGTAATCATATGAAATGACTCTGGAAAAGCTGCAGATAAGAGGCATAAAGAAATGAATGCAACTGATTATTAATGGTTGTTTTATTATGGCAAAAATGTAAGCTTTGTTTAGTTCCAGGTTTAATATGTGCATAAGTTCATTTCAATAAACATTGAACCAGTTCGGCTCTTCGACTAGTTACAAATTGGTTTTATTTTGGTCCACACGTGTATTTGAGTTTGGACACCCCTGCCTTAAGGGCACAGTGTAGGTCAGGCGGTGATGCAAATTAACCAGCGTGTGTGTTGTAGGACACAGCGGACCCCCAAAGAGAAGAAGCAGCACATCTGCCACATGGAGGGCTGCGCGAAGTGTACGGAAAGACGTCCCCACCTGGAGGGCCCACCTGCGCTTGCACACACGGAAGAGAGCCGTTCGTCTGTAACTGATCTTCTGTGCAAGAGGTTCACCAGGAGCGACGAGCTGCAGAACACCGGAGAACACACCACAGGTGGAGAAAATACACATACAGAGATCAGGCCGGTGATGGTGGTGTAACATGCGACGCTGGAAGGATTTGGCGTGATAACATTTTTAGCAAATTGGAATCCAGTACATATCCTTATACTATTGTTACTTATACAAACTTGTGCTGCACCTGATGATTTACTTTGCCCACTAATCAATCTTATGTTACAAGCCCTTAAAATCAGAACGCATTCAAATTTTGTTTAGACTCTTTCCAAAACTCCTTTCAAATCCATTATTATCACCGTGGTATAACACTTAAGTCATTCTGAATTAATGGACTTAACCTGTAGACTACGTTTACATGGATGATTATCTAATTTGAATTTTTCAATGAGCCCATCACAGCCACTAAATGACATTGCGTTTAACTTTTATCAATTGAAGATAAGAATTTGTTGGTCTTTTTTAACCCTGAAAGCACAGTGGGTCTTTTTAGACCAGGTGAGGTGGTTTTCTTAGAGTATCTTTGTAATTACATTTTTTTATCATTTCATATTCCAGCTATTCCTCAAAAAAAATGTTTTGGATATCATGCCATTCAAATTTTTTAATTTAAAAAATGACCCGCATGCATTTTCGAAAGAATTTCGTTTTTTTTTCAAAATGTAAAAAGACATTCTAAAATTCGAAATAGTGAAAAATTAAATATAAAATATTTCTAGTGTGAACCTAAATATAATCCTAAATATTATACAAGTGGTTTTTCTTAACCAATATGACAAAAATGGCATAAAAACACATTATACTAATACGAGTCCTTTTTGACCCACTTATGGAAGAGTGTAGGGTCCAGTCACTCGTGCATCTAAGGGTTAAAACATGAAGATGCTGCAATCTGCTGATAAATGCTGTGCACACTAAAAGTGTTTGGCATTAATGAGTTTCTATTTACAAAATGTCCTCTTTTTTTATACCTGTGGGCATTTATTTAGTGAAGGGTTTTATTTGGTGGATTGTGAGATGTTAAAAGATACCAATATTTATTCGAAAAACCAATATTGTTCCACCAGTAATAAAACAATTCCAACTGTTTTACGACAACTTACTTTTTGGAGAGAAGGTTCCAACTAGAGCAGTCAACAACGAGGTAGTTACGTAGAAAACCTAGGTTCCTTTCTTGATTAGATTTTCTCTAATTCTTTGTTTTTTGCCCCTAGGGGAAAAGCGTTTTGAGTGTCCAGAATGCTCCAAGCGTTTCATGCGCAGCGACCACCTCTCCAAGCACATTAAGANGCCTACGAACACACCGCAAAGACTTCAGTCGACGAGTGGCAATAACTGTCCTTACCAGCAGGCAGCGGTAGTGTGTATTCGTCATTCAAAAGAGGCAACAGCCAATCAGAGTGATTTCTTTGGCCGACTTTCTTTGGCGGGAGGTGTGAAAATGTGCCGTAAAGCAACCACGGTGCGGGAAACACCAACCTGAGTAGGGCGCCGCAAATGCCCGACTGTCTCTGACTCCCAAAATCGGGTAGGTGTGTCAGGGCCTTAAAGGCACGGACACACCAGGCCAATTATCGGCGTCGGTGGGCATCAGGCCGTCGATGAGCATCGACACGCCCTACTCAGTTTGGTGTGTCCCGCACCGTCGGGTCTTTTCAGCCGTGCCGACGCCTTTTCGGCCGAAAACCAGGCAGTCGGCAAAATAAATCCCTCTGATTGGCTGTTCAGTTTAGCGAATCAGTGCATGTGAAGCGAAACGGAAGTGAGGGACCCAAACAAACGATTAAGAAGGCAAATCTGAGATTTAATTTAACTCCAGCTCTCGACACAGGTTCGGGAAAGCCCCGTGAGCTGTGCACACTAAAAATGTTTGTTATTAGTGAGTTTTTATTTACGAAATGTCCTCTTTTTTTTATACCTGTGGGCATTTATTAAGTGAAGGGTTTCATTCGGTGGATTGTAAGATGTTAAAAAATACCAATATTTATTTGAAAAAACAATATTGTTCCATCAGTAATAAAACAATTCCAACTGTTTTACCACAACTTACTTTTTGGAGAGAAGGTTCCAACTAGCAGTCAACAACTAGGGAGCTACGTAGAAAACCTAGGGTCCTTTCTGGATTAGATTTTCTCTAATTCTTTGTTTTTTGCCCCTAGGGGAAAAGCGTTTTGAGTGTCCAGAATGCTCCAAGCGTTTCATGCGCAGCGACCACCTCTCCAAGCACATTAAGACCCACCAGAACAAGAAGGGCGGAGCTGCGGTTGCCATCATCACCACTGATGACATGGAGGATGATGTCCCTGAAGACCTGGACGCCTCTCCTCAGATTGTGGCGACCCTCTCTCGTGACTCTGACCCCGCTACACCCACCACCTCTAATCACATAGAGGAAGAGGAGGTGGAAGAGGGGGAATTTGAATAAGCAACAGACTCCTGTCGCTTTGCTGAAGGCTGACTTCCTGTTTTTTTGGGAGTCTTTGCAGGGACTTTAGGGGTGGCTACTTTTTCTTTTTACATAATTTAAAAAATATTCTCATGAAAAAGGGAGTAAAAGCGACAGGATTACGCAATTAACAGAAACAAATAAATATAAACATTACAATTTAAAAATAACACACATATAATAACAGAAATTTAGCCTAAACGTATGAAAGTTAGTTTGGCAATTTATAGAGTAAATCTAAAATAATTCCATTCACTGTGGGGAAAGGAATGCAAGAAATGTCTAGATTAGCACAAGACAGGGGGACCTGCAGAATCTTAAAAAACATCGAGAGACAATTTGTTAATCGCAACAGAATTGAACTCTATGCACAAGGTTGTGTTACTGTTTCATACCTGTCAGACAGTGCTGAGGGTCAATCATGGTACAGGACTGTTGCAGAGCAGTGATAGGGTAGTCTTGGGAAGGTGTCTATGTATGTGTGTGTGTATGTGTATGTATGTATGTATGTATGTGTATGTATGTATGTATGTATGTATGTATGTATGTATGTATGTATTTATGTA